ACCGGGGGTTACTAATGTAGTCACTTGCGTGATTTATGGGCGCCCTCTGTCGTAGTTTTTCGCTATTCTACTTACGACTGGTTCGACTCTGCACTACCATGGGTTAATAGAGTAGCTACTTACCTTGGAGCCGGTGCAGTATCGGTTCAAAAGTAGCGATTGACTCCAGCTGTACTGGAGGCTAACAACTAAGCAATAGCTTTTTCTTAAAAGGTTCTTTCCCGTACGCAACGCGAGATCCCACAGGTTCCCAAAACAGCCCAGAAATTATTCTCGTACTCAACAAAATTTGTAGGTTATTTTCTCATTGGTAGAATGGTAGGACGCTAAATTTTGGTGGGTTTCTTTGATCAACAGAAAACATCTCTGGTTTATTGTAGTGGGTCATTTTGTCAGCATTGTGGGTAGGCCTGCCAAATTCTGACTATATCAAACCAGGAGCTTGGGGAAAATTAATGGATGAAAAAAACCAAAAACATACTACAAAATACCTCTCCATTTAAAAAAAAATTGTAAACCGACTCTTCTCCGTCCTTCTCTTTAAAAAAAGGTATATTTACTTTTTTTTCAAATCAGGGACCGTAACTCTTATGACTTTTATCAAAAAAATCAAAAAATAAGAGTTATTTTTGATTTTAATATACAGTGAAACTTCCCTTGGGCGGACACTCACCGTCAGTCATTTTTTGTCCGCCCAAGAAAGGTGTCCGCTTAATGGAGGGGAAGCCTATTTTAGAACTTTTCAATGTTTTAATTAATTGAATAGTCACTATTTCTTATTTGAATAAAATATATTGATATTACATCGTTCAAACAAAAATGTGCATGTATTTTTTCAAAAGTGCACATTTCATTTATGTGCGTAAGTACATATTAAGTAATAACAAAATAAAAATAAATATTACATTTTAGTCCATAAACTACATAAAATCATAGATTCATTACATAAAAAACTGGGAAATTGTCGATTGACGTAAGTTTTGTTTTTAATTTTTTTCAGTGTCAGTACCTTTTTCATCAATAGTTTTCATGTTTTTATCAGTCTCCAAGGGTTTCAGACAATTCAAATAACGAACCTAAACCACTGCGCAAACCAAACTAAATGTGTGCATAACAATCACATTTTGTGCGGGAAGTCCCCTTTTTCCATTTAGTAGTCCGCCTATGAGGAGTTCGCGTCCGCTCAACGGAGGTTTTTGTTTGATTTGTTATGAAAAGAAATCTTAATGTCCGTTGATAAGAGGTTCGCGTCCGCCCAATAGAGTTTTTGTGTCAATTTTATGCAAAATAACTGTCCGCGTCCGGCCAAGAGAGTGTCCGCTTAAGAGAGAGTAATTTGTTCCGAAATTTATACTTAAAACTTGGTATAGGAAAAAATGTCCGCCCAAGGGAGGTGTCCGTTAGGAGAGGTTTCACTGTATTTAGATCAAAAATAAGAGTTATTTTTGATTTTTATATATTTAGATCAAAAATAAAAGTTATTTTTGATTTTTATATATTTAGATAACTTTCATTTTTGATTTTTATTTTCTTAGAGGAAAAATAAAAGTTATTTTTGATTTTTATATTTTTATATCAAAAAATAAGAGTTATTTTTGATTTTTATATTTTTATATCAATAATAAAAATCAATTCAAAATTGTTATTTATTTATTTATGCCGTATGAAATTATATCAAACTTTTACTTTTTCAGTTTTATAAATAAGCAGTGCTCATCACAACTTCTCCCTCGCGATTGAATGCTATCATGTAATATGCAATATGCATTGAAATTAGCAAATTGAAAACAACAATAAGAGTACGCTAATACTAAAAGGTGTACGGTTATAATAACAACAATAAAAATGAAAGAACAAATAATAGCGTTATTTCAAGTTCAGGGGCATTGCACAGCATAAGTTAGAAACTTTGTTACAAACATTTTGTTGATATTGTAACCGTACACCTTAGTTTTACTTTAATGCGTAACAGGGATTAAGAAACATATTATGTCATGAATTTTGAATTGATTTTTATTATTGATATAAAAGTATAAAAATCAAAAATAAGTCTTATTTTTTTCTAAATACATAAAAATCAAAAATAACTTGTATCTTTGATCTAAATATATAAAAATCAAAAATAACTCTTATTTTTGATCTAAATATATAAAAATCAAAAATTTAAAAATCATACAATATTTTGCATATAGTTCACCAAAAAATCATGATGGTGTAATCAAAACTTTTCTACGATGTTCATTTATGTATGATTTTTTTATTCAAAAATTGAAAAATAACTCTTATTTCCGGTCCCTGTTTCAAATGCGTACTTTTTAGAAAAAAACTTTCAGGAACAAAATTTAATGATGGAAAGAGTTCTGCTTTTACCAATTTTACGCTCGTTCTGTTTCTCGGATGGGTTCAACTGTTTGCCATTATATCCAATCTTTTAGAAACACGTTGTGCTTACTGGTATAGACAGAGTTTTGCCAATTAGATTTGGCGATTCTCTGAACTTCGCATACGACTATAAAAAAGTTTCATCCACTAAATATCTAAAGGGATATCAAAAGATTGAATTGATGGATAAACTTTTAGCAGCAACTGTATTAACCGAGGTAAAGGCAGGTTTACAAATCAGATGTTTTTCTTTGGAATGAGAGTTGCGAATCGATTAAAGTTTTTAACCTCAACTCGAAGAAATTGATGCCAAACCCACAGCGCGGAGATGTTTTCCAAGCCAGGAGGCTCCTAGCGAAACCCGGACATTTGGAAACCAAACTGTGGATTATCATTTTACCTTACTTATATATACAACATAATATACGTATGCAAATGAGCGAAGTATAAAAAATCTACGACGGGATTTTATTTCCTCCTACGATTTTTCACGTCATTTACTCCGAAGGCTTTTTTAAAATTATTCTACTGATCTCTTCTATTTACCTGAATATCTTATGGCGTTTTCATTTCTACAAAAAATGTTGCCTTTTCATGGCCCTCTCCTTAGTATTTGTGCGTAGAGGGCACAGAAAAGGCAAAATTTTTCGGTAGAAAGGAAACCCCATTACTTTAAGCATAAAAACCCACAAAAATAGATAGATTTAAAGCTGTCAAACGTCATTTCCTTGAAATGGTAGGTAGGAGGAAGCTATTTTGGTTGGTTTTTGAATCAGTTATTGGTAGGAAAGAAAATTTTGCCGTGGCAATTTGCCTACATACACACATAACTATTTATGTATGTTTATGCAAGCGTATAGTAAGTAGGGTGTTCACCCACCGTATTCATCCCTGCTAGCTGTACCCACGCACTACATTAGATGCAAGTAAATATCGTAGTTTAAAGTACAAAACCGCGTATCAACAAAATGCAAAACCGCGTATGTGCGGTTGCATAAATTATTTTCTAGAGACTAAAAACACTTATATCCTTATCCATTCGTCCTGAAAAATACTGGCCAGGTATGCGATTATTTTATAAAAAAGAGAACCATTTTGAAATATGAGTGTTTCTACTCTCTAGAAGATAATTTACATAATTCACAGACGCGGTTTTGCATTATCTTGATACGCGGTATTGCATTTTGTTGATACGCGGTTTTGTACTTTAAACGACGGTATGTATGTATGTTCGTGTTCATTTACGTATTTCCAGCATACCACTTTTCTACATCCACGTACATATTTACTAGGTACATATGTAGTTATATTTACATATGTATGCACATAAGTATACAAGCATAAATATAACACTGTGTTTTTGCGCTTCAAATTTCGATTGGAGAGCTACATATTTATGTATGCATTTATGGATGTATGTATGTATGTATGTATGTATGTACGTACATATGACCTCATTTCTTCATCTATGGAGTTATAGTAAATAACATTGTGCCAATTTTTTTTCCTTTTAGATTTAGGTCATATTTTTTATTTAATCGAAAAAGGCATTGGTAAGCGTTTGTCCTTAACTCGTATGTACATCTGTGGAATAATTTTTATAGCAGAATATTGACGAAGCGATATTTTTGTGGGCTATACTGTTTATACATATGTACATAGATCACGAAACGAGTATTACCAATTATCACACAAATTAGAGGAATTTCGAGATATAGGTAGCGTATGAAAATACGATTTCTTAAGATCTTTTATTTAAACTGGCTTTATCGTGAAAAACAGCAACGTTCGTAATTTCATCAGTTGCGAGTTATAAAATTCTAACAATTAAGACTGTGAGTTACAGAACGTCTTTGGAAAAACAAACGCAAAAGTAGCGGTAAAACCCATTTGCCTTTTCCGTTATATTTCTATAATTACAAGTAATAGGCATTACGAACGAAGGTTACGAATTATAGAAGACCTTTGTCAGACACGAAGTACTAACTATTATTTGTTAAGCTGTTCAACGGAGAAAAGATAATTATCGAAGGAAAACAATTCTTTATATACATTTTGTATAAGTTATCGCAAGGGGAGCTAACGTGATGTTCCACTTATCGAGCTTACGAGTTATCGGGACTCCACTAATAACAATAATAATAGATTGGCGCTTACACATATGTTAGTGTTTGGCCGAGCTTCTCCTCCGATTTGTGGCGTGTGCCTTGATGTTGTCACACAAAGCGGAGGGACCTACAGTTTTCCGCCCACTCCGAACGGCGATTCTGTTTTTATGAGAAGCTGTTTTTCATGGCAGAAATACACTCGGAGGTTTGCCATTGCCTGCCGAGGGACGACCGCTGTAAAGAGAAAACCGTTTTCTATATTTTTTGCGATGTTGCTTTGACCATGGCTTGAACCCAGGCGTTGCGAGTGGAAGCGCGCACTGCTTACCACTATACCTTTTTCTATATTTTTTGCGACGTTGCTTTGACCAGGGCTTGAACCCAGGCGTTGCGGAGTGGAAGCGCGCATTGCTTACCATTACACCACAGCGACCGACGGGGACTCCACTGTATGTATTTGATTTAATGATGTGCTATTAATTTCTTTTATTTTAATCTCAAAATACTCACTTATTTTGCGTCGTTAAGGAAAATGGCACCTCAATGCTGTGTGATGCTGTTCGGCGGCGATCGCCACCCATATCGGCTAGACGTGCGAAGTCCGTGTCGCGTTCTTGATCGGCCAGGCGTGCTGAGCGTCGCGATTCAAGCAGACGCACCTCCTCCAAACGTTTCCTTAGCTCAATAGGTTCCTACGTAAAGAAAGTATAATAATATTATATGTAGTTAGATTTATTGTTGCAGATGATTCATAAAATGTGTATGTATATGTATATATGAATATATAATTTTTTTTTTATATGTAATTTATTTTAATGTATAGAAAAAATAATCCTATTAAGGTGCAAGTTCAGTGTTTCATTATCAATTTGTATGAATCATCACATCAAACGAAGTTTTTTGTTTTTGTGAGAAATTCGTACTAAACCTGTGTGCATACCTTTCGATTTTAACTCTAAGAACAGAACAATGCTGCTTTACTATCGATCTGGTATACCTTGACCTACATAAATACATAGCTGTTATGTATGAACATCTGAACCTATCAAAATGGTATACATATGTATATACATATGTACATAGATACGTTTGTATAATGCATTCACGGATATGTACATATGTATAGAGTTATCTTAATATATATACAGAATGAAAGGTCCTAACATATTCCTTTTTTATAGAGTATGTAGTTATAAATCTAGAGTTCATGAGCTACGATTTTTTTTAATTACACAGATTTTAATTGAGTTTTAATTTCTTCATGTAGTCTTCTTCTTCTTCTTTTTTGGCGCTGTAACCGCCTAAGCGATTTTGGCCGAGTTCAGACAAGCACGCCAGTCGTTTCTCCTCTGTGCCAACTGACGCCAATTGGAAACGCCAAGTCCTTCTCCACCTGATCTTTCCATCGCAGTGGGGGCCTCCCTCTTCCTCTGCTACCACCAGCGGGTTCCGAGTTGAATACTTTCAGAGCTGGAGCGTCGGTGTCCATTCGAACCACATGACCAAGCCAGCGGAGCCGCTGTATTTTAATTCGCTGCACTATGTCCATACCCAGCAAAAAATCGGTAATCGCTTTTAGTGGTAACGTGTTCTAGAAGGCATAGCGTTGTAATGCCTTCGAATTTTTTCACTTCTTTTAGGCATTGTAGGTAATGCAAAGTAGAATGTCATACAATATTTTATTTATTTCGCTTCTTTGTTTCATTTTGGGGAATGCAAAGTAGAATGTCCTATAATATTTCTTTCTTAATTCGCTTCTTTGCTTCATTTCAGGGAATGCAAAGTAGAATGTCCTACAACATTTTATTTTTTTTTTCGCTTCTTTGCTTCATTTCAGGGCATGCAAAGTAGAATGTCCTACAATATTTTTTTTTTATTTCGCTTCTTTGCTTCATTTCAGGGAATGCAAAGTAGAATGCTACATCGTAGCCAGCTGAAAAATAGAATGGATATCCAAAAAATCTTTTTCTACCGTTAGTTTCTGTGGAAATTTGTCTCGCATAAAAATCATGTTTTGCTTTGTTCAATTTGCAGCGAAGTTGAAGTCAGTCAATGAAGTCAAGTACATGAGTCAGGAAGTACAATTTTAAGCTTAATTAAATATGCATGTATGTACATACCGATTTTTAAGTAAAATCTAAATACCCAAATACATACATATGTATGTATAAAAACTGATTTATATAAATTTTAATTAACTTTAATCTTTTAACACATTTTCTGATTTAATATATGTAAATAAGTATGTACTCATCTGGGCATTCTACATTAGTTTCTCTGTAAGGCATTCTTTGTTCGCTTCTCTGGATTCTGTTTATGCATGCGTTCTCCCTTCGTTTGAAGGTAATGCTGCGGGTAAGGGCTTACCGCCAATGACATGCCCATGTTAAAATAAGGCCTTCCTGAAGCGAAAGGGTAAGCGATTCCCATCGCCTAGCTCGTTTCCACTTTCGCTTCTGTGGTAATCGCGTTGCAAAGCTCATACAGGTCATCGTTCCATCGTCTGCGGTACTCGCCGTCGCCAACGCGTAAAGGCCCGTAAATCTTTCGCAAAATCTTTCTCGCAAACACTCCAAGAGCCGCCTCATCGGATGTTGTCATTGTCCATGCTTCTGCGCCATATACCAGCACGGGCATGATGAGTGTCTTATAGAGCGTGGTTTTCGTACGCCGAGAGAGGACTTTACTCCTGACTTGCCTACTCAGTCCAAAGTAGCACTTGTTGGCAAGAGTGATTCTGCGTTGGATTTCAATGCTGACATTATTATCGGTGTTAATGCTGGTTCCCAAGTAAACGAAATTCTCTACTTTCTCGAAATTGTAACTGTCAACAGTGACGTGGGTGCCAAGGCGTGAATGTGCTGACTGTTTGTTTGATGACAGGAGATACTTCGTCTTGTCCTCGTTTACCACCAGACCCATTCGCTTTGCTTCCCTATCCAACTTGGAAAAGGCAGAACAGACTTCGCGGTTTTTGTTACCGATGATGTCGATGTCATCGGCATAAGCCAGCAATTGCACGCTCTTGTAGTAAATTGTTCCTGAGCGGTTCAGTTCTGCAGCTCTTATTATCTTCTCCAACATCAGATTAAAGAAGTCACATGAAAGGGAGTCGCCCTGTCTGAAACCCCGTTTTGTGGCGAACGGCTCGGAGAGGTCTTTCCCAATTCTGACGGAGCTGGTGGTATTGCTCAACGTCATTTTACACAGCCGTATGAGTTTTGAGGGGATGCCAAATTCAGACATAGCGGCGTATAGGCAACTCCTCTTAGTGCTGTCACAAGCGGCTTTAAAGTCGACAAATAGGTGGTGAGTGTCGATCCTTTTCTCGCGGGTCTTTTCCAAGATTTGGCGTATTGTGAATACCTGGTCTATGGTGGATTTTCCAGGTCTAAAGCCACACTGATAAGGCCCAATCAGTTCATTGACGGTAGGCTTAAGTCTTTCACACAATACGCTCGATAAGACCTTGTAACCTATGCTTAGAAGGCTGATCCCGCGGTAGTTGGCGCGAATGGCGGGGTCACCTTTCTTGTGGATTGGGCACAGCGCACTTAAATTCCAGTCGTCGGTCATGCGTTCATCTGACCATATTCTGCACAAGAGTTGATGCATGCACCTTATCAACTCCTCGCCGCCGTACTTGAATAGCTCAGCTGGCAGGCTGTCAGCTCCAGCGGCTTTGTTGTTTTTCAGCCGCGTTATTGCTATACGTACCTCGTCATAGTCAGGCGGTGGAACGTCGACTCCGTCATCATCGACTGCGGGCTCGGGTTCTTCTTCTCCACAACTTTCCGTGCTGCTTCCGTTTAGTAGGGCGAAAAAGTGTTCCCTCCATAATTTAAGAACGCTCTGGATATCAGTTACTAGGTCGCCATTATTGTTCTTACAGGAGTACGCCCCGGTCTTTAAACCTTCCGTAAGTCGCCTAACTCTCTGGTAAAATTTTCGGGCATTCTTCCTGTCGGCCAGCATTTCAAGCTCTTCGCACTCACGTATTTCGGCCTCTCTCTTCTTATTGCGGCAAATACGTCTCGCTTCCCTCTTCAGATCCCTATAGCGGTCCCACATAGCGCGCGTTGCGCCCGATCGCAGCGTGGCCCTGTATACGGCATCTTTTTTTTCTGCAGCTTCCTGACACTCCTCATCGTACCAGTTGTTCTTTCGGGCTCGCTGAAATCCGACTACTTCTTCGGCGGCGGTACTTAATGAGCGGGAAATGTGGTTCCACTGCTCGCATATGTCGGTTTGTTGAAGAGTGCCCTCTGAGAGCAGGTGTGAGAGTCGAGTAGCGAAAGCGCTGGCTGTCTGTTGTGATTGCAGCTTTTCGACGTTAAGCTTTCCTTGCATATTTGGGCGCACATTTTTTGCTGCACAGAGGCGGGTGCGTATCTTGGCTGCAACAAGGTAGTGGTCCGAGTCAATGTTTGGGACTCGGAGTGTGCGTACGTCTAAAACACTGGAAGCCTGCCTTCCCTCTATCACAACATGATCGATTTGGTTTCTCGTTTTTCGATCCGGAGACAGCCACGTAGCTTGATGGATCTTTTTATGCTTGAACCTATTACTGCATACTACCATGTTTCGGGCCCCGGCGAAGTCGATCAGCCTCAATCCGTTGTCGGACGTTTCGTCGTGAAGGCTGAATTTTCCGACGGTGGTTCCAAAGATCCCTTCCTTGCCCACCCTGGCATTGAAGTCGCCAAGCACGATTTTGATATCATGACAGGGGCAGCGCTCGTATGTGCGCTCCAAGCGCTCATAGAAAAGATCCTTGGATGCCTCATCCTTCTCTTCCGTCGGCGCGTGGGCGCAGATGAGCGAGATGGTGAAGAATCTCGCTTTGACGCGGATTGTGGCTAGACGCTCGTCCACCGGGGTACTCGGCGACGGAGTCTCTCTACCACCACAAATCCAACACCGAATTTGCGCCTTCTTTACATGGCAGCTGTAGTAGACGTCGCAAGGCCCCAGACATTGCTTGCCTTGCCCCGTCCAACGCATTTCTTGGATGGCGGTGATGTCAGCTTTTGTCCTTACGAGGACATCAACCAGCCGGGCAGAGGCACCTTCCCCATTAAGGGTCCGCACATTCCAGGTGCATGCCCTCAAATCGTAGTCCTTTAAACGTTTGCCGTGGTCGTCATCATAAGGGACGGTCTCATCCGAGGCTTTGCCTTGCTTCTTCACTGGAAGTGGTTTTTACGTGGCGGGTCCCAAGCCCAGCGCACAACCCATTGCTGGGACGGGGGTGGTTTCGCTACAAAATACACGTTTATATAGCGAGCCTATTGCTCCAAGCAGACACCCGCTTGCTCCAAGCAGACACCCGCTTGCAGCCGCACCTACTGGTGAACAGACGCTGCAGACTTCAGTAAGCCCTTAAACCGAATAAGTCGGAGTGGCCCCACCGAAGCTCCCTCTCTTTCTGCCGTGACCCAAGGCTCCACTCGGATTGGTTACCGCATCTCGCACATGGGTTGCTCACGTTGCCCAGAGTGCGCGAACGAGGACGCAAGAGTCGGGATTGAGTATAGCCATGCAACTGTAACTGCATACCCAGCGCAACGACTATACCCCATTGCACTTTCTTCATTTTGTAGTTGTATTTAAATTCGACTAAGTCTTTATTGGCTAATCTACCGACATTTGTGCAGAGCTGAATTTCGAAAGAAAATAAGTTAGGAGCTTTCTATATTAAGGTAACGATATGTAATTATATTAATTTGATATAAAAATACACCTTACCTGGCGAAAACTGCATTTAATAGAACTAAATCTATATTTTTATACATTGATGCATATGTATGCACATGCCGTGGAGAATTGATCCCCCATCTACCGACATACTTATTTCTGAAGTTATTCACTTTTATGTATGTAATATTTAGGAGTTATTTCCTTCTATATGAGCAAAATCGGACTATAAAGAGGGGGTTTTCAAATAACTCGACTCCCTTTTTTAACAAAACAACTTATCACAACTAAAGCACAGAGAATTTTTCACAATGCATGAACCTTTTTTTATTCTTTATAAAAATACAGTTTATACTAAATATATGAAAAAACATAAAAAAAATTGTTAAACTTTGTGCTAAACTCGGCAAAATTCAATAAATTTGCGTTCCAATTTGCAACATTCTAATCAGACTTTTTATACAAATTTTTAAAATGAAGTTTTGCAGCCCATTAAATTTTAGTTGATTTTTGGTATTGTTTTTACTGAGAGTTTCTTCCATACAAACTATGTTCGATAATTCTTTTTATATGGAGGACACTGTCAGCAAAAAAAAAAGCTAAAAATCAACGAAATTTGCTGGCAACTTCAGACTTGCGCTTTATTAATTGGCCCAAAAGCTACATTTTCAAAATTTTTCTAAAAGATCTGATTAGAAATTGTGATCTGATGAAAGAGAGAATTAAAAAATCGTGCTAAATTAAAAAAAATACGCATATGAAAGAGCGCCAACCCAACTCGTAATACATTTAAGTATACAAATTTTAGTATTTGTATAGAAATATTCACTTCAAATACGTCCATATTAAAATGAAGCGATTTGCAATTACTGATTGCTTTTTTATAATTAAGTTAAAAAAATATTTAAATTCCATCCTGGTTGTAATAGAAATTGAGCCCTGACCCTCTGGAGATTAGCAAATTGTGGCAAGCATCTTCGCGCACTCAGCTACAGCCAGACATGTAAATGTGCATTTAAATGCTGCGTTTGAATCAACACCACGCGTGCGATAATCAAATAGAAAATATTCATGTTTACTATGCGTTATTTCCCTCAGTGAATTCATAACATTTTTCTGAATATTACAACGCGTTTTTTCGCTTAGTGTAGTGATTTTTGAACTTTTATTCAAATTTGTGGAATCAAATGAAAAACCGGGACACTAAACGAAACCCGGGACATTTTAAGGTTGGACCGGGACATCGGGACAAATAGTCTAAAACCGGGACATGTCCGGGAAAACCGGGACGTCTGGCAACCCTACTGTAGCCTAAACCAAACAATATAAGACGGACCCCCCTAATACTTATTTGTATACGCACACATGCGTGCACATTTATGTAGTAGGAAATGATCAGAAAGTTCATACAGTTTTCCCGCCAAATTAACCATCGTCAAGTTTCCCCTCCAAATAGTTGTACTGTATGGAGGGTGAACTTAATTTTACTGCAAACAGCGCGGACACTTCTTTTCTGGAGATCAACAGGGAACGACCATCAGCCACCATCCTACGTCACAATCACTTGAGGTAATATTCCGTGTATACCTTCCCTTTATATATATATACAATAAACATTACATGTACTCGATGGAGAACTAATTCTTGGCTTTATTTATTTCTTCGTTTTTCCTTTAAAAAACATTGGTGCAACATACCGCGAACCACTGAGCTGTCAAGCAAGCAGTATTGTTGCATCTTTGTCCACCTCTAGGGTATAAACAATTATATATCATTAGAAAGGTATCTTGATGCTGATGTACAGGCAATTTTTCAAATTTCAAATTAGTTTAACATAAAGCGAAAAAATCAATTCAAAAGTGACACCAATACGAATGCCCTACATGTACATGGTTGGGGCGGAAATGCCTCCTAAATGTATGCTTTAATGTTGATACTGAATTACAGAAGCGTGCTAAGTAGCAGTTTAGGAATCAGATTTATGAAGATTAAGATTCATGCAAGGAAGAAGGTAAAGTTTAATATGTAGAAGAAGAAAGGGATAAAGGCAAAGATTAGAGTAAAAGTAAAGAAACGTAAATATAAACGAAGGTGAATATGAAGATGAAGATGAAGATGAAGATGAAGATGCATATGAAGATGAAGATGAAGATGAAGATGAACATGAAGATGAAGATGAAGATGAAGATGAAGATGAAGATGAAGATGAAGATGAA